CTAGTCCCGAAGCGTAGGCCGACTCGGCCAGGCCAGTAGTGCAAGGTTTGGCAAAATAGTGCGCGCGAAGTTGGCGAAGCCCCGTTAGCAGTAACGGGCGAACAATGGGTGCGGCTGTACGCGGTGTTGACGGCCGCAGTAAGGAATGGCGAGAAAATTCCTTACAATCCCCCATGTGCTTTGAACTTGATGAGGGCACATAGGGCATATTACTACTTTTTTTTAAGGGAAGGAGTAGTTTGGGGAGTACAGTATTTTATGTTAATATGCTTGTGAAAGCCCGCGTCGCGGGTGTAAGCGAGGGTTGAACCGCTTTTGTCACAAACGTCAATACATCTTGCCACGTCATTCGTTCTGATTTACAGTACTGTATAATACTGGGCTTGCTATGCACACGTGCACTGTCTTTCGCGAGTGATTGTACGTGCACAGTCTTTTCGCACATCCCTACACAGTCTCACTGATCCAAGCGACGCGAGCTGATAGGGTCCTGCCTGATCGGAAATTGCGGCGCTGGACACTTCACCAACCTCCAGAGCTGACTCACACGACCTAGTCTTGAGAATTTGCGGTTCCGTGTCGCCCATACGCTAGCTCACGCGATGCGACCAACCCTGATCCGCGATTCCACATCCAAGCAAGAAAATCAAACCCCAGTGAATGAACGAGGGGGGAGTACAAATGTGGCAGTGCGGCAAGTCAGAGATAACTGCAATTCAGATTCGCGAACTATTTTTGTTCGATCTCCGATTGTTTTACGGCGGCAACATCACTCTACCTCTGCTATGGCCTTCTTAGCGCGCCCCCGAAGGGCGGGGCTGTTCGCCCTCTGCCTGCTCGCGATAGTGTCGGGATCAATGGCTGCGCCCCTCGCTGGTCCCAAGTGCAAGAACCGGTTCCCCAAGTACCCGCTGTGCAAGTTCGTCAACGACATGGCCACGTCGTTCAAACCCACCGTCGTCGACGCTGCCAGCGGGAAGACGCTTCAGATTAGCGCCTACCAGATCTACCACGTGAGTAATGCCACGGAAAATATAGTCGCTTCTGTGAAGCACACTGGTACCGTGAATCAACCTTGCGAATCTCAGGTTTCTGACGAAACATTTGCACCCATTCTTGAATTTCCCGGGTTTCGCCTGCGCAGAAATTTCACCGCGACCTGCCGGCGACGAAGCAGTACGCGTACGGAATGGACGCGAATTCGGCGTCGTATCCGGGGCCCATCCTGATCGCGAAGAAGGGCGTGCGCACCAAGGTGTACTGGCAGAACAAGCTGCTGGACCGCCAGCACATGTTCACCAACGACTTCACGCTCTTTAACGGCATGGCCAAGCCCAAGATGGGCGGCATTCCCATCGGTGCGTCGCTGTCGGATTTTTCCTCTATTGCTATAGCGAATTCGTTCTCGTCGTCGCTTTTCCCCATTTCCTTCCGCGCACCTTACCGTTCCTCGTCCAATGATTCCCCATTGTGCGTCGGCGCTTTCCCATGTGCAGTGATTCACAGGCACGGCGGCGAGCAGGCGAGCAACTTCGACGGGCACCCCGACGCGTGGTTCACGCAGTTCGGCGAGGTCGGCCCCACCTTCAAGTCGCGCCTGTACCGCTACGGCAACCAGCAGAGCGCGTCGCTCATCTGGTTCCACGACCACGCCATGGGGTGGACGCGCCTCAACACCGTTGCCGGCCTCGCCGGCGCGTACATCATCGTGGATCCCAAGGGCGACGAGAAGAACCTCCAGTTCCTCCCGCAGCCCGGCAGCGCGCGCTACGTGCCGTTCGTGCTCGCGGACCGCTCGTTCTTCGCCAACGGGTCGATCGACTACCCGATCAAGGGGCTCGTGCCCAACGTGCACCCGCACTGGGTGCCCGAGTACTTTGGTAACCACCTTCTCGTCAACGGCGTCGTGTGGCCGTACCTCAAGGTCCGCCGCGCGCTGTACCGCTTCCGCGTGCTGGGCGGGTCGAACGCGCGCTTCTACAACCTCAAGTTCACGTGCGCGGGACGCGGCGACTACCCCAACTTCATTCCCCCGCTCAAGGGCCCCAGTCTTGAGATTATCCAGGTATACCTTGAGATTATCCTGTTCGTACGCTCATTTTCTACCAATGCGGCTCGTAGTATAATTTTGGCAGTACATAACCCGCTTACCATCCATTTTATTTTTCTGTTGGCGCGGTTCAGATCGGTTCGGATGGCGGGTACCTGGCGGCGCCGGTGCGGCTGTCGTCGCTGCTGGTGATGCCGGGCGAGCGGATGGACATTCTGGTGGACTTCAACGGCGCGCCCGGGCACTGCAAGGACGTCATCCTCACCAACGACGCGCGCGCCCCCTACCCCGCCGGCGAGCCCACCGACGCCAACACCGGCGTCGTCATGCGCTTCGTGCTCGCTAAGCGCACCGCGATCCCCGCCCCGCCCATCCCCAGCTCCCTCGTCGTACGTCTCTAAATCCCTCACCTACCGTCCTGCACCGTCAGCTACTCATTCATGTTTGCATACTTGGTTCAATGTTTGCGCTCGTTTGGGCTCCTTCGTGAATGCGGTGCAATGCTGGTTCCCTGTTTCCCCACACACCCCCCGAGACGGGAGCAGAGCATTCCGAAGGTAGATCTGCGCAGCGTGGCGCGCGTGCGATACAACACGCTGGAGGAGATCATGGACCCGGGCACGCAGCTGCCCATCCGCGTGACCATCGACGGCAAGATGCACCACGACCCCGCCACCGAGATCGCCAAGGAGGTGAGCCATCGCGATCGCCATGGAGATTCATTAAATTCTATGGCAGTCTCACACTTCAGCCTGATTGAACCCTGCTGTGGCATTCCTGCTTCCGTCCCCGCTTTTCCTGCAGGGCACGACGGAGCTGTGGAACATCATCAACCTGAGCGCGGACGCGCACGCCATGCACCTGCACCTCATCCAGCACCGCCCCATCTCGCGCCGCCCCTTCGACGTCGCCAAGTACACGGCGGGCAAGTGCTCGTTTAAGGACAAGACCAAGCCCAGCTGCTACACTGGCCCGGCTGTTGACGTCGACCCCAATGAGCGCGGATGGAAGGACACGACCAGGGCGCTCCCTGGCGAGGTGCTCACGATTTACACTCCGTTCTACCAGCAGTCGGGGGCGAAGACGTTTGACTTTGATGCGAGCCTCGGCCCGGGCTATGTGTGGCATTGCCACATGCTGGAGCACGAGGAGAATGACATGATGCGGCCGCTCATCATAACCAAGTGAGGGCACAGGGAATCTATGCACTTAATATCTAGCTTGTTTGAAGTTCTTAGGTAGGATGATATAGGTGTAAGCTTGTTGGCCCTTAAATTAGAATGCTAAGCACAGAACTAGCTAGGTCATCTCTAGTGATTGATTTGGATGGGGCTGGAATATCATTCTGTATATTGTATGTTGGGAATAATATTATGTTAGATGGAAGAGTTTGATTGGCCTGGTTATGTATTTTGATTAATATTACGTGTTTCTTCCTTCTAACATTTCCTTGTTTAAGTTTACGGTTTCATAATCGGGATTGCCAGTCTCGAGTTCTGACACCTGCAGCAAGCGCCAACAGCAGCTTGTTTCTCCCCTGTGCCTGTTTTGAATGGGGCCGCACATCTGTGATTGGACAATACTACTTCACAAAACTCTGCAGCAAGCAGACCATCCCAAGGTTTCGCGCGCTTTCTGATTCGAATCCACATTGGAAACTCAACACCACCCCCATGCGCGATTTTGGCCTTGCTGATTGCTTCGTCCATTATTTCTAGGATTTGGTTCCTTGTTTCATTCCTAGACTACGCACGCCTTCCGTACCTTCCTTCGCTGCATCTCGCGATTGGGCATTTCTTGTTATGCTCAAGTTAATTATCTTGACGAGATGCCAGACTTGTTAGCCACGGTTCTTTCAGAGCTTCTCCTGGTGGGCCGCATCATGCTGGCGTGACCTGGTGCACGTTGAACATTCTCCAGTGAAATAAAGAGATCAGCCAATTTGTATTTGTTCCTGGGCTGACGGTAACACCAATATCCGTTGTATATCTCGGTTTTTTGTGAGTCGTTTTCTCCCAAATCGTTCTTCAATGTTTCAAATGACAGCATGGAGGAGGGCAGCGGCACTGGCATCTTTCCTACTGATGCTCATCGCCGTTTCAACAGCTTCAGTCACAACACACGAGACGGATACCATCTCGTCCACGAAACTACTAACTGTAACATTTGACGAGCTAACTGACGACCATTTCCACGAAGACCACGGGCTGTGGGGCCTCCGGAAGACGTCGCTAGACGACTGCGAGTTGATCGGAAAGGCGGGAATCTGCGACAGAGCAGACGCGCTGGTTATTGCCGAGGTACGTACAACCGCGGCGAAACGCATTGAAAGAAGGATCTTATATGACGTATGGTACGGAACGGAATGGTAAGGGGAAGAATAGGGTGGCGTGGCAGAGAGGGTCAGAGAATGAAAATTGGGTTTCTTTTTAAGCTCATATGCCTTCTGTCCGAATTTTTATGTTACTTTTTTCCCCCGTTTTATCAGGGCGATCTTGGCTCGCGTCTGCACGCCGTTTGTGCAGCTTTCGCTGTAACGCACCTCACGGATGTTACCACCATTGCCGTGTGGCCCAGCGACGAGCACATGCCGCACATCCGCTTCGCAGACCTTTTCGTCGTCGCGAAAAACAGCACCAGCCGGAGCAGCACACGCAGAAGACGAGAGCACGAGGATACGCTGTGGGTGCGCAGCGTTACGTGGCCGATCGAACACTGGCGGGACCACCTCGAACCCACCAAGGAAACGGTGCGTGCCTGCTGATTGGATGACTTGGTGAAAAGGTGCGTGGCTGATGCTGTTTCCTAGCTTTATCACATCATGTTGACTCGGTTGTCATGGATTGACGGGTGAGTTTGCGCTGATTAGAGAATTGCTTTCGTGGGATCCAAAGTCTTCGCCTTTTTCGGGATCGGAGCAGTTTCTTTTCTTTCTCTCGCTATATCGCACATGCTTGACCCTTTCCGCTATCTGCGTCGTCGACCATTCCCCATCCAGGTATCCGTCCCAGCGTGCAGCCACGGCGGCACTGCGGGCGGGAAGCACAGCCATGCTGCGGACAGCTTCGAGCTCTTCTTCTCTCCGGAGACGAACACGTGGTTGAAATCGGTGAGTGGGTGACTGGCTGAGAGAAACAAGTGCGTCAAAGATGTAAGACAAGTGCTGAGCCATGTTGCTGACAGCTTCGAGCTCTTCTTCTCTCCGGAGACGAACACGTGGCTGAAATCGGTGAGTTGTGACTGGCTGACACATACAAGTGCGTCAAAGATGTAAGGCACGTGCTGAGCCATGCTGCGGACAGTTTCGAGCTCTTCTTCTCCCCGGAGACGAACACGTGGTTGAAAGCGGTGAGCGGGTGACTGGCTGAGAGAGTTGAGTGGGTCACACATGTCAGACAAGTGCTTGAAACGAGTGGCAAGGGAGGTTCGAGAGCTGCGGGGAGCGTCGAGCTCTGTGGTTGAGAGAGGTGGGTGGCTGAGAGAGATGGGTGTGCTCGTACGCGTTTACGAGCAACTCTTGACCCGTACGCGTACGAGCAACTCTTGATCCGTACGCGTACGAGCAACTCTTGACCCGTACGCGTACTAGCACTCTTGACCCGTACGCGCACGAGCAATCTGTGCTGTTCAAGTCACTTCTGCGTGAACTCAAGCTCTCCCCATCCCCCATCCTCGCTTCTTGACCAGGACGCTATGGAAGCGTGCGAGTACGAGCAGGCCGTGCAGGCGTGCCTGGCGTCGCTGCACCCGTCACCAACCGTCGCCGTGACCGTGGAGCGGGAAAACCTCAGTCGCATCCGCGCGTCGCACGCTGTGCTCCCCGAGGTATGCACGTCACACGCGCATGGTGTGTGTGTGGGGGGAGGATGTATGGTTAGGTCGGTGCTACACCACAGTTCATTCAGTTTTCCTTCCAATTCCCCTTGTTCCCAACTTGCGCTCTCCCATTTCACCATCCGCACTGTCTCTCCCACGAATCTCCACTCGCCGTGCACTCACAGCGTTCCCTGTTTTCCCTTCTCCCAAATCCCATCCCCTGATCATCCATCCCCCTTATAGAACGGCCTCGATTACAGCGCGTCGGGGTGCGTGCAGCAGCCGGGGGCAGCAGCGGGCACGTGTGCCATGAGCCAACCCAGCAGCCCCTACCTCGTCACGCCCTCCCGCCCAGACCCGCGCAACGAGGGGCGGGAGGGGGAGAACGGGGGAGCGGGGACGGCGGAGGGGGAGGGGGAGGGCGGGTACGGCGCGCCCTTCGCCCTGAGAGCCACTGAGGCCCGCACTGCCCGCTGCAGCGGGGATCAAAGGGGTGGGGGGGGAGGGAACAATGGGGATGTGCGAGAGGGTGGAGGGGCAACGGTGGACGAGACGCTGGAGTGCACTCGCTTGGAGGTGCGTGGGGGAAGTGAGGGTATTGAGGTGGAAGTGAGGGTATTGAGGTGGAAGTGAGGGTATTGAGGTGGAAGTGAGGGTAGTGAGGTGGAAGTGAGGGTATTGAGGTGGAAGTGAGGGTATTGAGGTGGAAGTGAGGGTATTGAGGTGGAAGTGAGGGTATTGAGGTGGAAGTGAGGGTATTGAGGTGGAAGTGAGGGTATTGAGGTGGAAGTGAGGGTATTGAGGTGGAAGTGAGGGTATTGAGGTGGAAGTGAGGGTAGTGAGGTGGAGTGAGGTGGGTGGAAGTGAGGGTATTGAGGTGGAAGTGAGGGTATTGAGGTGGAAATGAGGGTATTGAGGTGGAAGTGAGGGTATTGAGGTGGAAGTGAGGGTATTGAGGTGGAAGTGAGGGTATTGAGGTGGAAGTGAGGGTATTGAGGTGGAAGTGAGGGTATTGAGGTGGAAGTGAGGGTATTGAGGTGGAAGTGAGGGTATTGAGGTGGAAGTGAGGGTATTGAGGTGGAAGTGAGGGTATTGAGGTGGAAGTGAGGGTATTGAGGTGGAAGTGAGGGTATTGAGGTGGAAGTGAGGGTATTGAGGTGGAAGTGAGGGTATTGAGGTGGAAGTGAGGGTATTGAGGTGGAAGTGAGGGTATTGAGGTGGAAGTGAGGGTATTGAGGTGGAAGTGAGGGTATTGAGGTGGAAGTGAGGGTATTGAGGTGGAAGTGAGGGTATTGAGGTGGAAGTGAGGGTATTGAGGTGGAAGTGAGGGTATTGAGGTGGAAGTGAGGGTATTGAGGTGGAAGTGAGGGTATTGAGGTGGAAGTGAGGGTATTGAGGTGGAAGTGAGGGTATTGAGGTGGAAGTGAGGGTATTGAGGTGGAAGTGAGGGTATTGAGGTGGAAGTGAGGGTATTGAGGTGGTCTTGAGGTGGTCCGGTTTGAGTACTGATGAGGACCCGCTAGAGGGTAGTGGAGGGGCAACGGTGGACGAGACGAGACACTGGAGTGCACTCGCTTGGAGGTGCGTGCGGGGGGGAAGGAGGGTGTTGAAGTGGTCATTGAGTTGGTATTGAGGTGGCATTGAGGAAATATTGAGGTGCTCTGTTGGAGTGTTGAGAGCGAATCAGCGACGTGGCTCGGAGGTAGAGTATTGATTGTGAGAGGGGTGAAAGAGGTAGCGGTGGGATGCTCGCTTACCCACTCGTATCCCTCTCCTCCTCCTCTTCCTTGTCCCTCCTCCCTGTCTCCCCGTCTCCATCCCCTCATCTCGTCCCAGCCTGGAATCGTGACAGCTTAACGCGTGCTTAATACTGCTGTTCCCTCTCCTTCCTCCCCTTCCATCGCCCCAGTCCTCCCCCACCATCCCCACCAGCTGGCCAGTAACTCGCTCTGAGCTTCGCTCAAGGGCGTCTCGTCTCGCCCCCTTGCCCTCCTCACCCCTCTTTTGCCTCGTGCCCCTCGCTCTTCCCCCTTCTCCCCCCCACTCGTCTTCACCCCCCCCTCACCCTCTCTCCCCCTGCTGGCGGAGCTGTTCGCTCTGAGCTTCCCTCACACCCTGCTCCCCCTCTCCTCCGCTCCGCCTCACCCTCTTCTTTCTCGTGCCCCTCTCTCTTAACCCCTCTCCCCCACACTCCCTCGCTCTTCCTCTCCCCCCCCCCCAGCTGGCGGAGCTCTTCGCGCTGAGCTTCGCGCACGCCCTGCGCGCCCACTCGCCCCCCTCGCCCCGCGCCCGCTTCGTGGCAGCCCAGGGCGTGAGGCGCACCCGCGCCTTCCTGCTGCTGCCACCGCCTCTGAGGGCCATCGCTAGCCGAGCTGATGCTCAAGGTACGGAATGGGGGTATGCCCGGGATTCTCCCCACTCTTTCGGGGGCTATAAGAACAATTGGATTTCGCTTGGTGGGTGCTGCAGTTGCAGAATCAACCAGAAGTACAGGTGTGGGTTTGACTGGCAGACAGGGTGGCGGATGGAGTCTCTCTGTTCCTCTATTACCCTGCTTCGGTGATCCCGTGCAATCTTCGTCCTCCTGTCTCCCACTCCTCGTGACCTCTATACTTCTTGCCTCAGTGTTTCTCACCCTTCCCTTCTCTCTGCCGCCCTCTCGGAAATCTCTCTGCACACATACGCCAGTCGAAGGCAGCTGCAGGACGCCTAGAACTCCTCCCCTGATTCTGCCTCCTTCATCTTACCTGAGTGCCCCCCTCTCTCTTCCTTTCTCTCTGTCGCCCTCCATTCCATTCACACAGATGCCAGTCGAAGGCAGCTCCAGGACGCCTGGACCTCTTCCCCTGATTCTTCCTCGACTACTGATTGGTCCTCTTCCTCCTCCTCTGATTGGTCCTCGCCCTCCCCTGACTCGACGTCCTCTTCTGATTGGTCGAGCCCTTCTGATACATCTTCGCAGTGGACAGCACCGGCTGACACGTCATCACAGTGGACAGCACCTGCGGACACGTCATCTGGTGGGTCAGCACCAGCTGACTCGTCGTCTGATTGGTCAGCACCAGCTGACACGTCATCCGATTGGACGGCACCAGCCGACTCCTCCTCTTCAGACTACTCCTCGCCGTCGCCTGATTGGTCCGCCACCACCACGCCTTCTCCTCCTCCCCCTTCTGATTCGTCCACTGATGCGGGAACCACAAACTCTGATTGGGTGTCCACCAATGATTGGCAGACACCTAGCAGCCCCTCTCCGCCGCCTTCTGATTGGTCCAATCCTTCCCCTCCGCCGCCTTCTGATTGGTCCAATCCTTCCCCCCCGCCGCCTTCTGATTCGACAGGAGACACCTCGTCTTCTGGTAGCTGGTGGCCCTGGGGTGGCTCAGGTGACAGCTCAGGTGAAAGCTCAGGTGAAAGCTCAGGTGACACAACAAGCAGCGTGGACCAGACAGCAAGCCCACCTCCCCCAAGTCCACCTCCCCCAAGCCCACCGCCACCCAGCCCTCCCCCTCCTTCTGACACTTACACGGACCCAGGCTCTGCACCTGCCGACCCTGCATCCACTGGTGCTCCTGCTGGTGATACTAACACTTATACCGATTCAGGTGCTGCTGTGGACCCTGCATGGGGCGCTGGAACTGACCCTAGTGCTGCTGCGGCGGATAACACTGCTGACATTGCAGCTGCCACTGACCCGGCTACATCTTCAGGTGCTCCCGCTGATGCCTCAGGTGCTACAGACACCTCAGGTGCTACAGACACCTCAGGTGCTACAGACACCTCAGGTGCTACAGACACCTCAGGTGTTACCGACACCTCAGGTGCTACCGACGCCTCAGGTGCTTCCTCAGGTGTTGAAGGTTCGGTCTCCTTTGTGTCAGACGAGGATGGTGACTCTGGCAGCAGTGACAGCAGCGAGGGTGACAGTAGCGTGGACGCCAGTAGCGATGATCAGGGGCCTCTGACAAGCAACCCATCATATGGTGCCACGATGGGGGGGGACGAGGCACTGGATTCGACCACGTGCAACATATACGAGGGCGAGTGGGTGTGGGACGAGGACAACCGCCCTGCGTACAACACGGAATCTTGCCCGTTTATCAATGTAAGCCTTGCTACTGTGATGATGATAGTGGTACTGGTGATAGTAGCAGTGGTGTGGAACATTCATGAGGGCGAGTGGGTGTGGGACGAGGACAACCGCCCTGCGTACAACACGGAATCTTGCCCGTTTATCAATGTAAGTACTAACGGCCATGGTGAGGATACTGGTCATGATAGTAGCGGTGGTGATAGTAGTGGTGGTGATAGTAGCGGTGGTGATAGTAGAGGTAGTGATAGTAGCGATGTTGATACTCGTAGTGATGTCTATATCTTCATGATAATGTAGAAGCCATGGGTGTTGTGGCGGTAATAAGCATTAACGTGGTAATAACGGTGTGGTGTCCCCTCGTCAGCATGAGGTCAGCATGAGGTCTTTCTGCAGATCTCTGCAGAATGGGAATGTGTAAAGGGTATGTGTGAGCGTGGGAATGTAAGAAACCCCATCATCCTCCGACCTTGCATTTATACCATGTAAGCTTGAGTGTTTGCCGTATCCTATCCCCTCGGCATTTGACACAGCACTTCCCCTTTCATTCCCCTGTACATCTTCCTCCTCACATCACCTTTGCTCTTCTTCTCTTGGCTCTCCCCCTCTTCCTCTCGGCCCTTCCCAATCTTGCCACCTCCACTCTAAGTTTCTCCTACATGCTCTATTCCCCCCCCAAGGCCTATCCACCTTGTCACCTGCATTCCCTACGCCCCTTCCTATGCTTTATGCACCGCCACTTGCCCTTTTTGCCCTCTTGCCTCCTGCTATTTCCGCCCCCCTCCCGTGCTCTCCGCCCCTCCCGTGCTCCCCGCCCCTCCCCTCCTCACTTCGGCAGTCCGTGTCGCCCACAACCAACTGCCTCAGGCAGAAGTACGGCCGGCAGGACCACTCATGGATGGTGAGTCGCTGCAGAGCGTTAATAATGTGCGTGTTTTGAGTCGGCTCAGAACTCAACTGCCTCCATAACAAGCACAGCCGGTCATGGACGGGTCGTTCCTGCAGGGCGTTTATAGGGAGAGGGGGTGTAGAGAGAGCGGAGAAACGTAGCTATGGCAGTCCCATCGTTTCAAGCAGGCACTCCTTCACGGTCATAAAGTGCGACGTCGTTTCAAGCAGCCCCATTGAGAGCTCTGTGAGTTACGCCCATCCGCTATGCATGCGTCCTCTTACGGGCCTACATTTTCATGCTGCCGTTTTGCTTCCCTCTCTGCCCCTCTCTGGCCCTCTCTACCGCTCTCTGCAGCGCTACTCGTGGAAGCCAAAGCAGTGTGGCAGCAACATCCTTCGGTTCCAAGCAGCTGACTTCGCCCAGAAGATGCAGAACAAGTGAGGGGAGGTAGTCGCAGGGGAGGGAAGTGAGGGCAGGGAGGGCAGGGAGGGCAGGGAGGGTAGTGAGGGCAGGGAGGGCAGGGAGGGCAGGGAGGGTAGTGAGGGCAGGGAGGGCAGGGAAGGTTGGCCATCCTTTACCACTCTCCACCATTCACGAACACCCTATATCACCACCCACTGCGTCTTCCTTGTGCCTGGCAGGGTGATCGCTCTGTTGGGCGAATCCCTCATAGCCAGCGGTGTCTCCTCTTGACCCCTGTTCACCACTCTCCCACCATTCCCCACTCCCTTGGGCCCCTATATCTCCCCCCACCGCCGTGCCTGGCAGGGTAGTTACACTGGCAGGCGACTCCCTCATAGCTGAAAGTTGCACCTGTTCACCACTCTCCACCACTCACCACTCCCATCTACCCCTCCATCTTCCCCCACTGCCGTGCCTGGCAGGGTGATCGCGCTGGTGGGCGACTCACTCATCACCGAAGGCTTCACCTTTTCATCACTCTCCGCCATTCGCCACTCCCGTCCACCCCTCTATCTCCCCATGGTGTGTCTGCAGGGTGATTGCGCTGGTGGGCGACTCACTCATCACCGAAGGCTTCATGCCCTCGATGCTCTGCCAGGTGGGCTATTTCTGAATCACTTAAGTGTGACGCATACACTGCTCTGCCAGGTAGGCTTGCTGCTCTGGCAGGTAGGCTTGCTGCTCTGGCAGGTAGGCTTGCTGCTCTGGCAGGTAGGCTTGCTGCTCTGCCTGGCAGGCTCGTTGCTCTGCCTGGTAAGCTATGTTCGAACTCATGCCATTGCTTCTCTGCGATGTTTCAGAATTCTCACAAGCTATTCGTACACTGCCCGGGTAGGTTCGCCGCCCATGCACCCCCACTGTCCCCACGCACCACCCCTTGTCCCCCTGGCAGCTGGCGCAGGTGGGCACGGTGAGCCGCGTGGAGGGAAGTCCGCTGGGCAGCTTTGTGTGGGTCTGAACATGACCGTTAGGCACCTCCCCCGATGCACCCCCTCTCTCCCCCTGGCAGCTGGCGCAGGTGGGCACGGTGAGCCGCGTGGAGGGCAGTGCGCTGGGCAGCTTTGTGTGGCGCCTGGACTCACACAACCTGACAGTCGCCAACTACTGGAGCCCCTTCCTCATGTGGACGTCCGCCAACCCCCTGGTGGGTGCACTTGGCTTGTATATGTGTGCCGCGGTCCTGCATGCTGCATGTGTTTGAAGTGAAGTGTGCGCGCCTGCACTCGCATAACCTGACAGTCGCCAACTACTGGAGCCCCTTCCTCATGTGGACATCTGCTAACCCCCTGGTGGGTGCACTTGGCTTGTATATGTGTGCCGCGGTCCTGCATGCTGCATGTGTTTGAAGTGAAGTGTGCGCGCCTGGACTCGCATAACCTGACAGTCGCCAACTACTGGAGCCCCTTCCTCATGTGGACGTCCGCCAACCCCTGGTGGGTGCACTTGGCTTGTATATGTGTGCCGCGGTCCTGCATGCTGCATGTGTTTGAAGTGAAGTGTGCGCGCCTGGACTCGCATAACCTGACAGTCGCCAACTACTGGAGCCCCTTCCTCATGTGGACGTCCGCCAACCCCCTGGTGGGTGCACTTGGCTTGTATATGTGTGCCGCGGTCCTGCATGCTGCATGTGTTTGAAGTGAAGTGTGTGCGCCTGCACTCGCATAACCTGACAGTCGCCAACTACTGGAGCCCCTTCCTCATGTGGACCTCCGCTAATCCCCTGGTGGGTGCTTGTGCTTGTTTAAGTGTCTCGCATTTGTGCTTAGAGCATGCACAGCATGCATGGACTCGCACAACCTGACAGTCGCCAACTACTGGAGCTTCTTCCTCATGTGGACGTCTGCTAACCCCCTGGTGGGTGCTCTTGCCATGCGTGTTCTGGGTGCATGGTGCATGGTGCATGGCGCATGGTGCTTGGTGCTTGGTGCTTGGTGCATGGTGCATGGTGCATGGCGCATGGTGCATGGCGAATGGCGCATGGTGCATGGTGCATGGTGCATGGTCCATGGTCCATGGTGCATGGTGCATGGCGCATGGTGCATGGCGCATGGTGCATGGCGCATGGTGCATGGCGCATGGTGCGTGGTGCATGGTGCATGGTGCATGGTGCGTGGTGCATGGTGCATGGTGCGTGGTGCATGGTGCATGGTGCGTGGTGCATGGTGCATGGTGCATGGTGCGTGGTGCATGGTGCATGGTGCATGGTGCGTGGTGCATGGTGCATGGTGCGTGGTGCATGGTGCATGGTGCGTGGTGCATGGTGCATGGTGCATGGTGCGTGGTGCATGGTGCATGGTGCATGGTGCATGGTGCGTGGTGCATGGTGCATGGTGCATGGTGCATGGTGCATGGCGCATGGTGCATGGTGCGTGGTGCGTGGTGCATGGTGCATGGTGCGTGGTGCATGGTGCATGGTGCATGGTGCGTGGTGCATGGTGCATGGTGCATGGCGCATGGTGGATGGTGCGTGGTGCGTGGTGCGTGGTGCATGGTGCATGGTGCGTGGTGCATGGTGCATGGTGCATGGTGCATGGTGCATGGTGCATGGCGCATGGTGCATGTGTTTGAAGCATGTGTGGCGCCTGGACTCGCAAAACTACTGGAGCCCCTTCCTCATGTGGTGGGTGCTACTGCGCATGTCATGTGTGGTAAGAGCATGCAGATCATGCACGGGGACTGCATCTGGCATGTGTGGTTAGAGAATGCACAGCATGCACCTCATTCTCTTCCCTCCCCTCCATTGCCCTTCCCCCCTTCCCTTCTTCGCCTCCATCTCCCCTTCTGTGGTTTTCCGTGTTTCCTCCCTTCTCCCCCTGCCTCTTCCATCCCTTCTCGCCTCCCGTGTTCCCTCTCCGCAGGTTATTCGCAAGCTGAGGGTGCAGGACCCTGGCCTGGGCGACACAGCAGTGAACCTGGGCGCGTTTGACCCGCAGTGGTTCGACCAGGCGCAGGCCATGGACCTCATCGTCTTCCAGTCCGCCACTCACTGGCCGCACGCTGAGAGGTGGCTAAGGAGGTTCTTTGTGGACCGCAAATGGCACCGTATTGACCCCGAGCCCGACACTATGACCGCATACAAGTGAGTGCTGTGCTTCTGGTTAGGTGGCTCTGAGATGTGGTTCTGAGAGGTGGTGGTGCTGAGCGCTGGCTCAGGAGGCTCGTTGTGGACTGCAAGTGGCATCGACCCCGAGCCCGACATGAATATGCATGAATATGCATGCTGAGAGATGGCTCAGGCGCTTCATTGTGGACCGCAAGTGGCACCGCCTCGGCCCCGAGCCGGACACCATGACTACTTACAAGTGAGTTCGTGTGGGTGAGTGTCTGTAAAGCGGAGTGGAGTTGTATGCTGAGAGGTGTTTCTGCTGCGGCAAGGGCACCCTCTTGACCCCGAGCCCGACACCATGAACGCCTACAAGTGAGTGCGCTGGTTACGAAACTTCAAGAGCTGACTGTGGCGCTTCTTTGTGGATCGCAAGTGGCGCCGCATCGACCCCGAGCCCGACACCATGACCACGTACAAGTGAGTGCATGTGTGAGCACCTGTGTGACTGTGAAGGGACGTGACTACGCATGCTGAGCGCTGGCTGAGGAGATTCGTTGTGTACCGCAAGTGGCACCGCCTCGACTCCGAGCTTGACACCATGACCGCGTACAAGTGAGTGCACTGGTTACAAAACTGCAAGAGCTAGCTCAGGCACTTCTTTGCAGACCGCAAGTGACACCGCATCTAACCTGAGGCCGACGCCGTGACCACATACAAGCGAGTGTGCGTGGGTGCTTCCATTCAAGTGAGTGCAGAGGGGACGAACGGTGAGATCTGATCTAAGCACGACACCACGTGCGCCCTACAGGTGAGTACGTGTGGTTGTGCTCCCATGTGAGCTAGGGAAGGGTGATGATGTGAGGTGGAGAAGCGGCGATGGGCTTTTTATTTTGTATATCGCGCCCATGGAGATTTGCGTCAGGCAGTCTATATGGGCTGCAAGTGGTGTGGAGCGACTTTGAGCCCGGTGCTGTGGGGGCGTGCAAGGGAGTGCTTGCGTTGGGGTGGTTGCTAGTGAGTGTTTGTGAGTAAGCGATCGCGCACAGCCTGTGCATTGAAAAGCTTAAAAGGCTTCTCATTGTCTCACGCCTGCCTGTTGACCCCCTCCTCTGCCCACAGGCAAGCACTGAACAAGCTCGGCAAGTCGTTCAACGCGGGCAACAGCAAGCGCTGGGATCTGCCTGTTCCCTACTTCCTCTATTCTACTCCCCGTCTCGCCGTTTGAGGTGCCTCACGACTCCCTCTCCCTCTTGCAACCCACCCCCCTCTTCTGGCCCCAGGCAAGCACTGAACAAGCTGGGAAAGTCGTTCAATGCGGGCAACAGCAAGCGCTGGGACCTGCCTGTGCCCTACTTCCTCTCCGCTCCTCCCCGCCTCGTTAACTGCCAGGGATCCTACGCCCCTGCCAACAGGTCCACGGTGAGTTGGGTATGCTGTGACTTAAGGCAGAGTATGTGTGTGTGTGACACACCATACGTGCTCTTTGCTCCTCCCCGCCTCGTTAACTGTCAGGGATCCTATGCCCCTGCCAACAGGTCCACGGTGAGTTAGACGTGGTCTGTCCCATGCATTGTGTATGCGCTCTCTCTAGATATTTGTGTGTGTGTGTGAGTGTGTGTCTGTGTGACGCACAGTATGTGCTCACTGCTGCGACGAGCTTCATTAACTGCCAGGGCTCCTTGGTGAGTTGCATGGGCTCTGAGTTATGATCACTGGCATTTGCACCTCACATGCTCACATCACTGCAACAGCTGCAGTTTAACAACCCCACACACACCACCATGCACCTCCATGATTCCCTTACTGTGCCTTAGCAAGATGCAGTACGAGCACCTGGTGCGGGGGAAACCCTAGAGGCGAATTCTAAGTTGACTCATAAGAACTCCCCCCGGCCCCCCCCCTCTCCCTCCTCTCTCCCCATGGCATGCATCCCTGTGCAGTATGAGCACATGGTGCGCAAGAACCCTCAGAGCCGCAAGTGGTTCCCCACACAGCGGGACATACTGAGTCCCAGCAAGAACATTCGCTTTGTGGACATCACCCATCCGTCGCTGTACAGAAGCGACGCCATGCTGGCGTCGCAGGCCCCTGACAGCAAGGACTGCCTGCACCCGTGCCTGCCGGGGCTTCCTGACATCTGGGTTGACCTGTTCTATGAAGTCTGGAAGGCTGACCCTGAGTTCAACAGCTGATGCTGACACTTGCCGTCGCTCTACTGCAGCTGGCGTACCAGTCGCCTGACAGCAAGGTCTGCCTGCACCCGGGTCTGCTTGACATATGGGGGGACTTGTCCTATGAAGTTTGGAAGACTGGGCTGGAGTTTGATAGCTGAGGCCGACACTTGGTAGGGTGGGTGCTAACTTAGGAGTTCATTTCTGCACTCGCTCGTGCAGCGGCTGGGCTCATTTTGAACAATAATTTTATGCTTGTTTTCTTACTATGATGGGTGCGAATCGCACGCACCCATATTTCTTGTTAGGTTTTTTCTTGATGGCGTGAAGATGCTTCCGAGAATTGTTGAAAGATTTGTCTGGGAATTATTGTTTAATAACATGACGGTTGTGGTTCTACCTTGTGTAATATCCTTTTGGTGCCACCAATTAATGTATACATTCATCTTAACCAAGCTCGGGCTGTATGTCTCTGTAGATGGTTATACCAACAAACCGATGTACCAATATCAGGGACTATAGAAAACCTCGATTTGCTCCGTCCCCGACAATCCCGTCCCGTTGATCGAAACGAAATGAGAGATCCATCCCTTCAACCATCACCGCCTCCATTCGCATTCCTGTGGGCAGTCGTTGCCTTCATCATCCTCCCATAAACCTTTCTTCCATACCTCTCCATCTGTGCCTGTCCTGCTTTTACGCCTCTCCGAGCCAGACTTGGTCGCTCACCCGACCATCACCTCGTCTCCTGCCCTTGTCTAACCTCGGGATTCACGTTTCGGGATTCAGTTCCCAAGGCTCATTTAGGGATTCACGCCGAGACGGTTGTCCTTACCGACATGGCTCGCATGTCGCTTACGAGTATCTGTTTCGCCTGCGCGTTCCAGTGTTCTAAGATTCGAATGCGCGTCCCGCACCTAGACTGCTCCTCCGCAGTTCTCGCCTCGTTAGGCTTGGTGTCCGAACCAGGCTAGGTCCGCCGCTCCTATTGGCTTGTTTGTTGCGGTCCCTCAAAGTCGCGTTTCGAGCGTCGTTGTAATTCCACCGTCAGCAAATTCCAGATCGAGTCTCCCTCAGGTAGGCTTCCGAGAAATACCTCAAGCTTGTAGCTGATTGGCTAGAATATGTCCATCTGGACGAATCGACAACGAGCCTCGAAACCTGCGTCGCGAGAAGGGAAGGCATTCACAATGGTAGCCATATACTACGACCCAGGATAGGAGTCCTCTATCTTGATTTTCGCCTGCGGTTCGGCATACGCGGTTCGGCAGAAGCGGTCGAGGGGGTTTTCGGTGTCGGTGAGAGGTGCTTGTCGCGATCTTGGCCGTTGCGAGCGGCAGGATTTGACCGCGAACGGAAATGTGATGGCCCGTTTCTCCGACTTATCGTTATCCGTCGTAAGGCATTCGAGCCAAGCCAAACCAGCTTGGGAAAATGGTGATGGATTGAGCAGGTAGCCTCGATTTCATACGAGCTCCGCGGGTCAAAAGGCGTTGCAAGACAATGTCTTGCCCAACGAAATGCTTTCGGAATGCAAGGGCTCGACGCGAACGCGAGACTCAAACGTGCAAACGAGACGCCCCTCGTCTCTCTTCGTTCCTCGTTCCTGGGGTTCGACCTTGGGGAGTCGACGACCCATTTTCAAACTCTTTGTCGCGCACCCGAAGCGCCTTGTTTTCGCCCCTAGCAACGTGGTGGTGTAGTCGAACCGAAGCGTAACTACCTCCCTCCTCCCTTCCTATCTTGGCCCTCGATCTTTACCCTTGTAGCCTTTCGATCTTGGCCCTCTTGGTTCTCCTCGCCCTTGGACTCTTCCCGCTCAACCACCTCGTGCTTCCTCAGCCGCCTCTTGAGACCCCTACCAACCCAACAAGTGCGAGAAGGATGTCGGCCCTAGTACCACCTACCTACTCGCCCTGCGCTGCCAGCTCACGAAGGCCGTTTAAATATTGAATGAAGGGCATCGCAGCCTGTTCAGTCTTCCCGTTGGAAACAAGTCCCACGCTCCTGTTCCTAAAGAACAACCTCGTTCTTTTGCCGGACCCTCCGACAGCAGAACCTTAGAAACTCCGAAGGCCTCTTAAAGGCCTTTGATTGCTTCTGGCTCCTGAGGGTGCTGGTAACTGCAATATTTTCGAAAAATGGCTTCTGGGAACTCTCACCTGAGGAGGTTACCAGCAGAAGCACCAGGCTGTTTCAAGAAAAAGAGGGTTGCGAGCCCTCTGTCTATTTATGTGCGCCGTTTCCCTCACCAGCGGAGCAGGAGGGTTTCTTGCCTGTATTTATCGCTTCTGCTGCTCTCAGTGACTGTCATTCTCGCCCTGTGCAGTCCTGCTCGCGTTGCTGCTGTCCGGCTACCTGGGTCCATGGGAAAACGCACACCCTCCGCGAGTATGAAGCGGGATGAATGGAATGCTGCTGCTGGCGGTGCTGCTGCTGTCTCTATCACTCCGCCTGCTGCTACTTCGACTGGTGATGCTGATGCTGCTGCTGCTGCTGCTGCTGCTGCTGCTGCTGATGTGGCTGGGGCAAGTGCCCCTGTGCCTGGTGTCGGTCCGTACAAGAGAGAGGAGCAGCTTCCGAGCTTCATTCTCCCTCACAGCGGCTATACAAGCGTACCAGGCGGCGAGCAATCAACAGCAGGCGCAGAAGAGTCCGAAGCAGCAGACACAGAAGAGGCATCAGCAGCAGACGCACCTTCACCTCTTCCAGAGGACGAGGAAACGGCCCCAACTGCAGAAGCAGCCGCAGCACCAGCACCTGCAGAAGCAATAACAGCAGCAGCTGGCAATTCTTCTGCCGCTGCATCTACCTCTGGTAGTGCCTCTGGCTCAGGCCCTGCCAAGGGCGGTCTCCTCCAACGCGCCTCCCAGGGCCTGCTATCGTCCCTGAGGTGCCGCTTCGCCAGGGGCGATCCTGCATGCACAGAGGCTAGTGCGGGCAAGGGCAAGGCGAAGGACGTGTGGAGGGTGGTGGAGGCTGTTTCCGGCGATGCGTTTGTGCGGCGCGTGGGGCGGCAGCTGTGGCTGCGAGGCAAGCCGTTCTATGTGAACGGGTGGAACACGTATTGGCTCATGTACATTGCGAGCATCCCCGACAAGAAGAATCTGGTATGTAGAATGAGATTTTGTGCTGTGACGTCTCTTAACACACTTCCGTTGATGCTCTATGTGATATGAACGGCTGGAACATGTATTGGCTCACATACATTGCGAGAATTTCCGACAAGTATTTGGTACGTTGCAAAGGTGCCACTAACTGCCATTCCACGTCTACTTCTATCCTCCAGTCCCCCTTACATCTTTATCTCCACCTGTCCTTATCTCCCCTTCAAATCGGCGCCCCTCCCCTTCTCCCACGTCCCACCTCAGCTGTTGACCCGTGAGCGCCAAGGGGTCTCACGGTGTGACTCTCTTTGCCTTCCTCGTTATGCCAACATTTGAACCTTGCTTCCCCCTCTCCAACTGCTCTTCTCTTGCCTCGTGCCCCACCAGGTGAACCAGGTCTTAAGCCAGGGCCGCAGCATGGGCCTCACAGTGTGCCTCTCGTTTTTTTGCCACTCATGTGTCCTGCCTTGTTTGATATGCCACCTCCTCTATTCGTTTCTTTTCTCCCTTGCCCCACCAGGTGAGCCAGGCGCTGAGCCAGGGCCGCAGCATGGGCCTCACGGTGTGCCGCACAGGGGCGTTCTATGACGGCCCGGGCTGGCATGCTCTGCAGACGAGCCCTGGCGTGTTTGACGAGAACACATTCAAGGTGGGTGGGGCTCGAGGGTGTGTAACCTCAGGTGGGTGGGAACTGGTTTAAGGGGTACCGGCATGCACGATACAAGGGCGTTCTATGACGGCCCAGGCTGGCATGCGCTGCAGACCAGCCCTGGGGTGTTTGACGAAAGCACCTTCAAGTTGCGTGGGACTCTAAGGAGTGGGACTCTAAGGAGTGTGACTTGGAAGGCATCTGACTCGACGGTGGCCGTGGAAGGTGGGGGGGGGGGAGGGTTGAAGGTGGATATGCCATGGACCACATTCCGGACTGTGCTGCAGGCGGTCTAGTTAAGTCCTTGACACACCCCTCTGCCCATATTACTCCCTGCCAGACGCTTGCACCATGAACGCTCCCCATGCGCCCACACCCTCTCCCCATTTCAGATGTTTGACATTCACATGCACATAATACAGATTAATACGTTTGCTAGAGTTCCCCCCTGTTTCCTTCTCTTCCCTCTCCTCCCCCGTTCTCCTCCCCTCCAGGCCCTAGACTATGTGATTTTCACGGCCAAGAGGTTTGGAATTCGGTTGCACATGGTGCTGAACGGCAACTGGGACGACTATGGAGGCAAGAACCAGTACGTCAGGTGGAGCATAGCCGCTGGGGGCACCCTTCCTGCCGACGACACGGCCTTCTTTGTCGACCCCCTCTGTCGAACGTTCTACAAAAACTTTATCAAGGTGCGATGCTGGCGTGATGGTGCGCAGTGTAGTACGGCGGTGCAACGCTGTGCGGTGTGATGTGATAGAGTGATGTGCGGTACTTATCGGTCATGGCTGATGTGCAACCCGTTCACAGCATCAACCCCTCACGATCTAATCGCCTCCCTCCTCCCTCCCCCACCACCTCCCCCCTCCCCACTCCTCCTCCCCCACACTCTCCTCTCCCCGCTGCTCCCCTCAAATCTCCATACAATTCTCCCTCCGCCAGGCTGTAATCATGAGGCGCAACCCGCTCACAGGCCAGCTGTACCGCTCGATCCCTCACGGGCTCATTACCCCCTCTCTCCGCCCCTACCACCGTCCCCCTCCCCACGTCTCCCCTCAAATCCCCATACAATTCTTTCTGCACCAGGCTGTAATCATGAGGCGCAACACCCTCACAGGCATGCTGTATCGCGACGATCCCACCATTTTTGGCTGGGAGCTCATAAATGAGCCCCGCGTCTATGCAGACCCCTCAGGGGACGTCCTGCAGGTGAGGCATTCGCAGCCCACCCCCGCCTCTCCACCTGTCCTCCTCTGGCAAGTTTGCCTGGGAGCTGATCCCTCAGGGGACGTCCAGCAGGTAACAAGAGATAAGTGGGGAGAAAAGGGGAGGGAGTGGGGAACAGCGATTGGGGAAGAGAGAGTGGGGAAGATAGAGTGGGTTTGAATAAAATCTGAAGATCTAGCATGGGAGTGCGTTTGAGTATCAGCTTTCCTTTCACGTAGTAGCAGAAGTCAAAGCCTCTTGATTCTGAGATTCAAACTCCTGTTCCCCACTGCCTCTGACAGCTTGTACGGCCCGTCCACAGCATACCGCGCCCCTTGTGCCATTGAAAGTCATATTTGAGTCTATTCTAAGATTGGAATTCAACCTCAATCGTCTCTGTGCTCACTTCTTTCTCCCATTCGCCCGTTCTTACCTCTCCCAGGAATGGATCACGGACATGGCAGCGTATGTCAAGTCCCTGGACTCCTACCATCTGCTCTCCATCGGCTCGGAGGGCTTCTATGGCCCCTCCACACCGGACCGGGCCAGAGCGAAGCAAGGGACTCAATCCGAGGCCTTAACCTTTTCTTTCTTCCATCCTGTCCACTCTTTGCTCGCTCCTGTACCCAGGCGTGGATAACGGACATGGCAGCATATGTCAAGTCGCTGGACCCCAACCACCTGCTCTCCATCGGCTCGGAGGGCTTCTACGGGCCCTCCACACCGGACCGAGCCAAGGCGCTCAACGCAGAGTGGTGGATGATGAATGTGGGGACGGACTTTGTGCGGAATAACAAGGTTCCCGGGATTGACATTGCGTCAGTGCACGCGTATGCAAACAGCAGGTGAGTGCGCGGTGAGAGGATATGTGGTGGGAGGGAGGAGGGGGGGAGGGGGGGGTTGTTGGGGGGAGTTGAATGCGGAGTGGTGGATGATGAACGTGGGGACGGACTTTGTCAGGAACAATCAGGTTCCCGGGATTGACATTGCCTCAGTGCACGCGTATGCCAACAGCAGGTAAGCGAGAAGTGATGTATGATGGAAGGAGAGGAGGAGATAACGGTCAACGCGGAGTGGTGGATGATGAACGTAGGGACCGACTTTGTGCGGAACAACAAGGTTTTTCGGGATTGACATTGCGTCGGTGCACGCATATGCAAACAGCAGGTGAAGGGGAATGATGAGCAGGTGAGATTGAGTGATGTGTGACGGGAAAGATGGGGGGGGGGGGGGGGGGGGGAAGAACGCTCATTGCGGAGTGGTGGGTGGTGAATTTTGGTCGGACATATTCCCTCAGTCCTCCCTTTCTCTGACATTCGTCATCACCACTCCAACATTCATCATCCTCCCTTCCTCCTCTCTCTCCCTGCTCCTTTCCAGTCCTGCACCTCTCTGGTACTCTGTGTCGGCATATAGTGACAAGCTGGCGTATGTTCCAACTCCTTCTCCCTTCCTCTCCACTCTCCCCCTTCTCTCCCCGTCTACCTTTCCTTCAGGTACTCTGTCACGGCATGGAGTGACAAGCTGGCATACTTTACAAACTTTGTGAAGGGCCATTTGGATGACGGGGACGGGGTGCTCAACATGCCCGTGCTCATCGGCGAGTTTGGCCCTGAGAGCAACAATCAGATAAACTCCTTGGCTGAACTCTTTCCCCTTCCTCCCCACCCTCTCCCTCTTCCCCCTGCCGTCCGCCCTTTCAGGTACTCTGTCACGGCATGGAGTGACAAGCTGGCATACTTTACAAACTTTGTGAAGGGCCATTTGGATGACGGGGACGGCGTGCTGAACATGCCCGTGCTCATCGGCGAGTTTGGCCCTGAAAGCATCAAGAAGCTTCCGGATGGCAGCATGGCGCGGCGCAACGAGGTGTACAGCACGCTCTACCAGATTGTTCTCGATTCGGTTAGGAAGAGGGGCTCTGCTGGAGGTATGTGTGTTTGGTGCTGGTGGTACGTGGTTGTCGTGCCTGTTTGTGTGTGCTTGTGTGTGTGTAAGGCGCCTCTCACAACGAGGTGTACAGCGCGCTCTACCAGATTGTGCTGGACTCGGTCAAGAAGAGAGGCTCAGCTGGAGGTACGTATGCCTGGTGGCTGCCTGTGTGTGTGTGCCTGTGTGTGTGTGTGCTTGTGTGCGTAAAAGCCGCTTCTCTCAATGAGGTGTACAGCGCGCTCTACCAGATTGTGCTGGACTCGGTGAAGAAGAGAGGCTCTGCTGCTTACACGTGTGTGTAGTGCCTGAGTATTATAACTTTCTCTCCTCCCCTGTCCCGTCCGTTCCCTCCCCCTCCCCTCTCTCTGTCGCTCTGTCCCGTGGCGCCAGCCACCGTGCTGTGGCAGGTCATTGCTGACGACCTGCGCTCGTGGGATGATGGCAAGGGGCGGTGGCATAGCAGCACGATGCTGCCTGCCTCAGTATCTACCTTTTTCTCCTCACCTGTCTCTTCCGTTCCCCTCCCCTCCCTCCTCTCCCTCTCCCTGCACCAGCCACCATGCTGTGGCAGATCATGGCAGACGACCTCCGCTCGTGGGATGATGGCATTGCACTCAGGCGCCTCAGTACTTAGCTTCCTCTCTTTTCCTGTCTCTCCTATTCCCCTTCCCTCCTCTCCCCCTCTCGCGGCACCAGCCACCTTGTTTTGGCAGATCATGGCAGACGACCTGCGCTCGTGGGATGATGGCATCGCAGTGTTTCCCTCAGACCCTGCGCATGCCAAGACAGTGAGCATCATAACCGCTCAGTCCAAGGCGATTGCTGCTGCCACAAGGAGCTAAGCGGACATTGACAATATGGGCCTCTAAGAACTAATTCCCTAGCGATTCTTGTGTTGATATTTTTGCATCGTCACTAGCAGAGCATGATGGACAGTACCACAAACATGTGCAAATTTTTGCGCATGAGCATTGAGCACCCAGGGACAACAGAAGGAAAAACATTAGGTCGAATGGCGTTGAATTCATCCCATTTTGCAAAATACAATATAGGTACATTGATTTATCCGTTACAAAATCCTCAAGGGAGACCCAACCACCAACTTGCTGATCCGTAGCTTAAAACCCACCCTTTGGGTGAGCTCTTGAATAAGTATCCCGCACGTCATTCGAAGCAACTACTAACGAATCCCCACAAACCCTGTACTGTACGGCGCGAAGCACACACTTCTCCCCCAACCACCACCACCTCCCCCCACTGCTTCCTATATCCGCGACCAGCCGTAGTCCTTCACCAAGTAGTTCTTCCGAAACTCGTTGCAACGCGCGATTGCCGCTGCGCTAGGCTTGCGCGCCCAAGGGGCCTTCTTTCCGCGCAGGCTGTTACACCACGGGGTGCCCGTCTGCCCCGACGCCTTGCACGTGTAGTGCAGGTCGAAGCGGCGGAACATGACTTCCTTAGGCCCGTTACCCCAGTTGGGCTTTAATTTGCTCCACGCAGAAGCGTCCCAAATGGATCCCTGGTGGGAGGATATGAGTCGTCAAGGGAAGAAGTGGAGGAAGGGATAATGAGATTTGATGCCAGCCAAGTGCTAGTATAGACCCATTTCTCGTATCTAAAACTGTTTTAGGTCTAACGAAAGCTGAAATTCGAGGATAGGGCTTTTAGAATAACGGTTTTTTTCGAATCGATAAGAAGCTTCGGAGCATGCTAAAGAATCACGCCGTACCTCGAACTTGACGTTCTGGGACGGGAAAGGGCGGCCGCTCTCCTTCCAGTGGATGCGGATGGGGGTGTCATCGACGGCCCACATGACGTAATCCGGCGAGTAGACGATGGTGTAGGTGTGGAACGCGGCGGACGGATCGAAGGGGAACTTGTACTGCTGTAGGTACACCTGCCCACCGGATATTAGATTCGTGTGTAGAATGATATCTTTTGGGGTATTTCCTCCGATAAATTCAAGGTCGATCTCGTCGTGAGGGTCGGTGTATTTTGGGTTGTTACCCGAAATAAGGTAGATGCAGGGGATTAAACCGCCGGAGTAACCCGAAGGAAGCTTCATGTTGACTCGGAAGATTCCGTAACCGAAGTAGCCCTTAGAGGTGAACTCTGTCGCATTGGGGGGAGGAGAGGGGAGCGGAGGCGGGGAGGGAACGTATTGTGAGGAGAACAGGGCAAGGGATGTGAGATGAAAAGGGGAAAAGGGTGCGCGGGGATTGGGTTGCGGGGAAGGAGGGAAGGCGGGACAAGGGGGAAGATGGGGGCACTGAGAGGGTATTAAAATCAAGTACCTGCACAATAACACTAACAATGATTTCGATAATAATGCGCACTACCTGGGCCTTTTTTAAGCACCCCAAACAATCATCTCAATGGGCAGACCGTAACGCGCTCTTTTCCCGCAGTGTGCTCACTCCACCCCTTCCCCCCCCCCCGTGATGCACTCGCTGCCCATGATATTTTTCACTACCCGCGATTCTCTCACTGCACGCGTCGCTCCCTTTGCCTTTTATGCACATACTGCCCATCTTATCCCAGAAGGCGGTGAGCTTCACGGAGCCGTCGTTCTGGCGAGAGCAGCCGCCGTTCCACCTGCAGAAGTCGGGCAGAGTCATGTACTTGTCGAACGACTTGTCGTGCTTCGCCGCTGTGGCCGCGGCGCACGCGAGCAGGGCGACAAGAAACAGGAGGCGGCTCCGAGCGGAAGTCATGGCTCTCAGGAAAGAGCGTTGCAACCAAGAATGTCGGGAGTATGGAATATGACAACTCAATACGGTATCTCTATTATCTGTTTCACCAACTAGATTTATGCTGTTCTCTGCGAACCATGCAAAAGCGTCGCAGCCGAACGTCAGGAAGATGAGATTCAGCTACGTCATGTTTTTGCAAAATACGGAGAAAAAAATGCGTGAAGTTATAGCACTAGGGCGGAGGATCACGGGGAGGAAATAGGCTGGAACAAGCACTTGCTGGCATAATGAAATGTAAGGAGCGAGGGCTACTATATCAATGGATGAGTTGGCCCCGCTTTTGGACGCTACTATCACCGCGCCTCGTGAAGAACAAAGCGGGGAGGAAGGTGGGTCGGTGGCAGACAGGGGGGGAAGAATGTTCGAGTTGCGCAATAAGGAAGGGGGGGCTTATGGGGGGGAAGGGGATTCTAGTTGCGCTCGCTGTGGGTCCCAACCCAAATGCACCCCATCTTCACCCGGCAGCACCTTCGCAATCACCAGACCCGCCGCCACATTCGACTGCGCGGCTTCCCTGAATTCACGCGTCGCCAGCAAAGAGAAACATGGTTGCAGCCAAGGTACACTACACAGTCAAGGAACGGTTACAAAACCACAATATCTAAAAGTATTGGTCGTTAATACCCGAGGTCCACAGGTTTCAAAGGTAGGAAGGTTGGTTGGACTTGCTCAGCCGACCAAAGGTAGGAAGATTGGTTGGACCACCATTACGCCTGTCTACTCATTATGCCTCCGAAGGCCAGGACCACCAAGACCTCTGCTGCCATGACGAACCCTGAGGATCCTCAGGTGCTGACACTGGAGCAGGAGGTAGCTGCTGGCAAGACGACGAATGCTCCTACGACCGTCCAGAGCGCGGCAGCTCCAGTAGTCTCGTCACCCGCGCCTGTCGCTGTCGAGTCTCGCAAGCCCGCTGAGCCACGACATCTTCAGCAACGACACAGACAAGGGAATCAACCGGCAAGTGAAAGGTGTGCTGGCATCGAAGGCGCGGGTCATGCTGACGCTACTGATCCTCCATTACCTGGCGACGGACGCCAGCGCAGTCCAGGCTCTCCTGGTATTCCTGAGGAAGAAGTTGTCGGTCAGAGCTCTGGAGGCGCTGTTATTTCAGGAGCTGTTTCCGGCGTACCTGTCACAGACCCGTTTCAGCCGTCTTCAGGTCACCCTCACCTTGGCTGCGCGCGGAGGTGATCCGCCAGCATAAGGTGGAGCAAACTGTTGCTGATCGCAAGACGCGTTATACCTTCGGCTGACAGCACCCAGTTGACAGCAGCTTCTTGAAGGCGAGGAGTGAAATGCGGGAAGGGGTGGAAGTAATTCTTAAGGGGGTGTTGGCGGAGATCACGACAGTCATTGTCATGTGGTGGAGGATCTGCTCAATGATAAGAAGGTGTACATTGTGTCAAACATATATGCTGCATATTGTCTAGGCTGTAGTGGGGTAGCCCATATGGGGTACAGCCCAATTAGGGTTTACTACTTGTACTCCTGCATGTTGCTAGTTCATCCATTCCTGCTGCTAGATTCTGACATGGTATCAGAGCACTAAGGTCCGTAGGACCGTTTTTTTTCGGGCCCACCTACCGCTGCGGTTACCGCGCTACCCCACGTACCTGCCTGCCTTGCCTTGCCTTGTGACGTGCTGCACTATGTGCGCCGTCCAGCAGCCCTAGCGCTGCCTCCTGCTGCCCTAGGCCAGCGCGCTGCCCCTAGAGGCCCGTAAGGCCCACGCGCCGCCCCTAGAGGCCCGTAAGGCCCGCGCAGCCCGCTGCAGCCGCGCGCAGCCCGCACAGAGCCCGCGCAGCCCGCGCCGAGCCGCGCGCAGCCCGCTGCAGCCGCGCGCAGCCCGCACAGAGCCCACGCAGCCCGCGCCGAGCCGCGCACAGCCCGCTGCAGCCGCGCGCAGCCCGCACCGAGCCGCGCACAGCCCGCTGCAGCCGCGCGCAGCCCGCAGCTGCCGCGCGCAGCCCGCAGCTGCCGCGCGCAGCCCGCGCCGAGCCCACGCAGCCCGCGTCGAGCCGCGCGCGGCCTGCTACGGCCTCGCGAGGCCCGCGCGCGGCCCGCAGCAGCCCGCGCCGAGCCGCGCGCGGCCTGCTACTGCCTCGCGCGGCCCGCGCGCGGCCCGCAACAGCCCGCGCCGAGCCGCGCGCGGCCCGCTACTGCCTAGCGCGGCCGCGCGCGGCCTGCAGCAGCTCAGCGCGCTGTCAGCGCAGCCCGCGCCGAGCCGCGCGCGGCCCTCTGCCTCGGCCACGACCTGCCGCTGATGCGGACCCGCCCTGCAGCTACCACGGCCCCGACCTGCCGCTGATGCGGCCCCGCCCTGCAGCTGCCACGGCCCCGACCTGCCGCTGACGCGGCCCCGCCCTGCAGCTGCTTCGGCCCTGCTCTGCAGCCGGTTTTGCGGCCCCGACGCCGCCGCTGTCGTGCGCCTACTCGGCCGCCGCCCGTCGAGCGCCGGCCCTGCTCGCCCGGTGAGCGCCTGCTCTTCCAGCCTTTGGTGAGCGCCTGCCTGCCTGCCTGACGGCCTGCCTGTCTGCCTGCCTGCCTGCCGGCCTGGCTGCCTGCCTGCCTGCCGGCCTACCTGCCTGCCTGCCTGCCTGCCTGCGCGACTGCCTGCCTGCCTGCCGGCCTGCCTGCCTGCCTGCCGGCCTGCCTGTCTGTCTGCTTGCCTGCCTGCCTGCCTGCCTGTCTGCCTGCCTGCCTGCCTGCCTGGCTGCCTGCCTACCTGCCGGCCTGCCTGCCTGCCTGCTTGCCTGCCTGCCTGCCGCGCCTGCCTTGCCCGCGCTACTGCTGCTGCTACTGCTACTGGCAGGTGGCCAGATGCAGCTCCAGCGACGTTCACGCGAGCCTCTGACGCCCCAGCAGCTTAGTGAGTGGTATACTAGCTGGGGTTGTCGCAGTAGCCGTCGTAGCTGTCGCCCTGGAGCTGGTCAGTTGGGAGCGTCTGGCAGTGGCCAGCTGCAGCTGCAGGGGCGTCCACGTGAGACACTTACGCCCCGGCAGCTCCAGGAGTGGTACGCTCAGTGTAGCAGGTCTACGCGTACAGTTCGCTGCCCGTACGTCATTCGCACAGGTGCTAGGACTGGTCAGCCTTGTGGGACGCTTGGTCACACACAGTCCCGCTGCTTCGCCCGTCTGAGCGACGACTGGCGCACAGTGTTTGGCGACGAGGCTGAGCTCCCCACCTGGCTGGAGCTGCATGGACAGAGGGTAGATATCTTTGCGCTTGACTATGATGCTATTCTCACTGCCATGTATGCATTGCCTACTAGTGCTGATCGTGCCTGTTATCTGTGCGTACCGCCTGACCCTGGTGAGGCTGCTGCTCTAGGTGCTAGTGCGTCTCCTGCTCTAGGTGCTGGTGAGGCTGCTGCTCTCGGTGCTAGTACGTCTACTGCTCTAGGTACTGGTGAGGCCGTGGCTTCAGGTGCTGGTGAGTCTGCTCTCTCTGGTACTGCGCCCACTACGGTCTCGCACACCTTCACCCTTGACTCAGGAGCTTCTCGCTCCTTCTTTCGCGACTGCACCACACTCACGCCGCTTAGTCGGCCAGTTCCAGTCTCCCTGGCGGACCCCTCCGGGGGTCCAGTCCTTGCCCACTACTCCACGGTTCTGCCGTGTCCGGCCGTCCCGTCCGGCTCGCTGTCAGGTCTTTACCTCCCCTCGTTCTCTACGAACTTGGTGAGTGGAGCTGACCTCCAGGATCGGGAGGTTGACCAGTTCACTCCTGCGAGTCAGCGAGTGACTCACTGTACGTGTGCTAGGACGGGCCGGCACTTGGCCACGTTCACCCGTGCACCTGGCTCGAGTCTGTACACACTGACCACTGAGTCCCCTCAGGTAGCTGCGTCTGCGTCTACGTCTGGTCAGCTGGCGGCCCCCTGCGAGTGTCGCGCTTTGTCGCACGACACTCTCCTGTGGCACCACCGTCTTGGTCACCCCTCCTTGCCTCGCCTGCGTAGCATGCACTCTCGCTCCCTGGTCTCTGGTCTTCCCAGGTCTCTGCCTGCCCTCCCTCCCTCGCCTGCGCCGCCCTGCATTCCTTGCGTCGAGGGGCGGCAGCGCGCCGCTCCTCACTCCTCCTCGTTTCCTCCCACAGAGGCTCCACTGCAGACGCTCCACCTGGACGTGTGGGGCCCAGCCCGCGTCCAGGGACAGGGCCGCGAGCGGTACTTCCTGCTGGTTGTCGACGACTACACGCGTTACACCACGGTCTTCCCCTTGCAGAGCAAGGGGGACGTCCCTGATGTTTTGATCCCTTGGATCCGCGCTGTTCGTCTCCAGCTCCGCGAGCGGTTCCGGCGGGACTTTCCTGTCCTGCGTCTGCACTCTGATAGAGGTGGTGAGTTCTCCTCTGACCTCTTGGCAGCCTACTGTGCGGAGCACGGCATCACCCAGTCGTTCACGCTTCCGGCCTCTCCACAGCAGAATGGGGTTGCTGAGCGTCGCATTGGCTTAGTCATGGAGGTCGCTCGTACCTCCATGATCCATGCGGCTGCCCCCCATTTCCTGTGGCCGTTTGCGGTCCGGTACGCCGCGCATCAGCTCAACCTCTGGCCCCGTGTCTCCTTGCCGGAGACCTCGCCCACACTGCTGTGGACGGGGAAGGTTGGCGATGCGTCGCGTTTCCGGGTCTGGGAGTGCTCGTGCCTTTGTCCGCGATACCACCGCGGACAAGCTCTCCGCCCGCGCTGTTCCCTGTGTCTTCCTTGGCTTTGTCCCTGACGCGCCTGGTTGGCAGTTTTACCATCCCACCTCGCGCCGTGTCTTTGCGTCTCAGGACGTCACGTTCGACGAGTCGGTTCCCTTTTACCGTCTCTTCCCCTACCGCACTGCCCCGCTCCCCCCCCGCCGCTCTTCCTCGCTCCAGGTGCTCCCCAGGTAGACCCCCTCCCCACTCCTGGTCCTGCTCCTTCAGGTGTTTCTCAGGTAGACCCTCCTCCCTTGACTGCGCCGGT